TTCCACAAAGCTCTATCCTTGGTCCTCTTCTCTTCACTCGAGACAATACATCACAATGAAACACGTGAAGCAGCAGCTTGATTAAAGTGAGTGTGAAGGTGGAGAACGTTTCCTCCTTCGCTCCCTGAGCATCTGTTCTCTCTCTCTGCTGAGTGGGTTCATCTCCTGAGAGAACAAGTGACTGAGAGTCTCCATCAGCTGAAGAGTGAAGCTGAACTGAGATCAGTTCTTAACAAGCAGAGTTTATCTCCAATGTTCAGCAGAAACTTTAAAACATGAAGAATCTGAGCAGTTTGTTGCAGCAGCAGCTCCTCTGGGTCAGGAAGCAGAGGATCACCATCAGCTCCAGACGGTTTCATTGAACATTTCTGTCTCGTTTCTTTACCCTGTGACATGTTCTGCTTTGTCCCGACAGGAAGTTCAGCTGAGCGACGAGTCTTCGACCGTGCGGTCAACAAACTGAACTCAGCGCATGATCAAGCAGGTGCTGCAGAAACGGAGCCGCTGAAGTTGGAGATGAAAATTGAAAAGGTGAAACCTCTGCTGCTGCTCAGGAGCTAAGTGTTTATTGTTCCGTCGGGGAACCGTCTCCGTGAGCATCCTGTGTATAATGAAAACAGACCCAGCAGCTAGACAGCGTTACTTTAAATATTCTTGTCTACTACTACATGCACTTCTAGAAACGGAGGTCTCAATACCAAACTTCAGCACTTTTGGTCACATCCATCTAAAAAGACATGATATTTATTGAGTACCCAGGTTTTTAGGGTAGCTTTAAGTATTAAGAGTTTCCAATGTCACAACTGAAATAAAACACAGAAACAGATTTTAGATTTTTTCTGGCAGAAGGAAAGAAATGAAAATATCGGAGTTTTCTATTTTTCAGATCAGGGTGCAGATCGGTCAGGACATTCATCTGAGGCTGACGTTGGTCAACAAAGATCCCAGCAGCAGGACTATGTCCCTCTTCATCAATGCCCAGGGAAAGAGGTACAACGGAGCAACAGCATTCCACATCCTGAACACAAGGGAGGAGAAGCTGCTGCCCTCAGGACAAGGTCTGCAAACATTCTCTTACACTTTGCCTCCATATTAGAGTTTCATGTTTTAGAGGTCGGACATTGTGAGCTCATCTCATTTTGGTTCTGTGTTGCTGGTCTACATGGCCCACGAAGGCCCCTGAATCTAAAATATCCCACGTCAACACACTGCATGCTCGGCGATGTGATTTTACTTCTGTGTCCGACAGAGGTGATCCTCCCGATCCAGATTCCCTTCCTGACCTACAGTCAACACATGGCCAAGTGTGACAGCATCAAGGTTATAGCCGTGGCCATGGACAAGAACAATCCTAACGACGTCTTTGAGACGGAGACTAACGTCTCCATGCAGTATCCGGCCCTCTCTATGAAGGTCAGTACAGTCCCCGGTGGTTCGTCATGTCTGGTTTCACACCCCGGTGATGGTGTCGTTTTCTAATCAAGAGAGGAGATCTTTGTTTTCACAGTAACTGAGCTCACAAACAGGTTCTGTCCGTTTCTCTGTGATGCAACAGAACGTCGGTCAGTCCAGCTCATCCTCCAACAGCCCGTTAGATTCATTCATTCATTCAACCAAGCTGAACCACACCCTCAGATCCGTCAATCAAAATGTAAAAAAAAACCGTCCCATCTCAGAATGAAATTACACGAATCACAGATCCTGGATCATTTCATCACTTCTTCCACTTCCACCAGGTTCACTGGAAATCTGTCCAGTAGTTTTTGAGTGAGACAAACAGACGACGTTACACTCGTCTCAGTGATTCAGAATCTGCTGTGTTGCTGAAATGTTCAATTCTATTGACTCTTCGATGTTTTAGGTTTTGGGCGAGGCGCGTCTGTTCCACAAGATGACGATGGAGGTGATGATCACTAACCCGCTCAGTGTCCCGCTGAGAGACTGCTGCATGACGCTCACAGGCAGTGGCATGTACAAGTTTACCTCATTGGAGAGGTTAGTATGTTGTTAGTATGTTGTGAACCTCAGTTTATCACAGGTGTCGATTTCTGCTGCACTTTAACGTCACCATTATTCTGCACTTTAATAAATTTGCCATAAAAAAACTGAATTTGTTTTTTCAAAGTGAAAAGTTGTATTTAGGTGTTTTGGGAAATTTGGTGCAGTTACACCTTTTTTCTTTTGCTTATTGGAAAACTTTCATTTTACAAAATAAACAAAACAGAAGAGATTTTCAACTTTACGTCAATTTTAATGTAAAATATCAAAACTCAGTTCGATTTCTTTGTCAGAAGGTTTGATAACAACGTCGTAGGAATCATTGACGATGTCTTTCTTTCAAACATAAAAATCTACAGCGACAAACTGAGCTGCGGCGTGATTTTTAACCACGAACACGTGTTTTCAGTAAAATCCAGGAGTTGGGGCCGAACTCCACATGGAGGCTGATAATCGTTTCAACGCCGTCCAAGCTCGGGCCGAGGATGGTGGTGGCCGACTTCGACTGCAGCGCCTTCAGAGACGTTGTGGGCAGCTGCGTTATCCACGTCAGTCCCTGAAGCTCCGCCCATGTGTTGATTTAACAAACAGGAACTCGTCACATATAATTCATGCTGTGGTTTTATGGGAGTGTTTTTTTATGGGTTTATTTTATAGATGAATGGTGAAAATTGTCTGAATCAATCAAATGTTTCTGTTTTTCTGCTGTTTGTTTAGTTTCAGCTTGAAAAACCTCAGAAATGATTATTTTCTTTTGTATGTTGATTATTCATCCACTTTATGTTTTGGGAATATTGAGCGACAACAGGGACGAAGTCTTTTTAATGAAACTTAACATCAGTTGTTACTTTGACTTTATAACGTTCTGAATATTTTGGGCTGAATGTGAAACACCCAGTTTTTATTGAAGCTCATCGAAGGTCAAACGTTTAATTTGTAGAAATGTTGAATGTGATTATTATAAAGAAATGGAATCCATGGCAACAGTCTGTGATACCAGCTGATTAAGTGATCAATACAAATGTTTCTTACACTTTTACAGTTTTCAGTGATTCTGTCTTAGTCAAGACAAGTCAAAGTCTTAATTTACCCAGAATTCAAGCTAAATGCACGACTATGGGCGGCGGCCATCGTGTTGATGTTGGCAGACTCAGGGTTGATAAATATAATATACTAATGTTCCTTCACACAGAATTCAGTCAGAGGCTTTTACAGGAGGAAACTGGGAAATCTCTTGTTTGTTAAGATACGTCACATGACAACAAAAGGTGTTTGACACGTGTGACCCAGAGACTGTAGCTAAAGACGGACGACACGTTTCCACTTCCAAAATATTTCGGATACCTTTCCCGCCATCGTGTCCTTTTGACGTCATTGACAGTCAGAGGCCGTTCAGTCGTGATCGTGGAGCGGAGACGTGCTATCAAGGTCCCACCCACACCTGTGTGCGACATGAGTCAGCTGTCAATCATCTTGTCTCCGTCTGTTTTTATATCATCAAATAACAAATGAAACCAAACTGACGAGAAACACTTGAACAAACATCAGAGAGAAGAACGAGCTGAAACGACAGAAACATCTTTGACAAACATTTATTTAACTTTGATTTGTTTAGTTTGGATTGTGTCCCTTCTGCTAACATGGAGGAAATGTATGACCTGGCCAGCCACCAGGGGGCGATACAGACGTTTTGACTTCACTTTTGGAGGCGTTATGTCGTCCATCTTTATTTAAAGTCTCTGTTGTGAACTGCTGCAAATACATATGTGTAGAAACTTTACTGCACATTAAAAGTGTGGTCGACGATGGAGCGTTGCAACGTGTGTGTGTTTGTGTGTGTGTGTGTTTGTGTTGATGTGTGTGTGAGTGTGTGTTGATGTGTGTGTGTGTGTGTGTGTTGATGTGTGTGTGTGTGTGTGTGTGTAGTAGTATCGGATGCAGAGTGTTTCTGTTCGTGCAGTCGTGCATAAACAGCTTCACTAATGTGGAAGCAAAGAGCAGACGTCGTGGATCAGGAGTAAACACACACACACACACACACACACACACACACACACACACACACACACACACACACACACCAGACTCAGCAGGACTGTAGACGGAGCAGTTCTACTTGATTCTTGTTACAATAACGATTGTTGGTTTAATAACACAACAAGTACAACCAGTAACTTCCACAGTGACCGTTTGCTGGAAACCAGTGAGTCGTACGAGCCAGTGACTGAGGTAGGAACCTGACTCTATTTCTGTTGGTGCCTTTAAGTTTCCCATGTGTACGTTTGGCCACTAGGGGTCACTCAATCAAAACAATAACAACAGATCGAGTTTGATGATGTCACAAAGTAGTGTGGGATCATGGGAGTTGTTGTGAAAATCCTGCTCACAGATGATGTCATTTCTGTGGCGTTTGATATAAATACATGTAAAAACATCGTCTGTCTCCTCGAGGTTTAACTCTATAAATAATAAACTTAGCAACAGACGCAAACTATGGGCTGCTGTAAACCGATCCACAGCCACGACAGTTCCCTACGTAACTTCATGTTTTTACCAGAAACTAAGTAAAGCTGGACGCCATCTCTCCACTTCTTCACATTGACGGAAACCATCTTTGACAAACATTTATTTATTTATCGTCTGATTGGATTTTTTTTTTCTACTAACATGGAGGAGGAGAGATTCATGACCTATACTGCAGCCGGCCACCAGGGGGCGATGGAGAGGATTTGACCTTTGTGAGCTGTCATGTCTATGTAACAAAGGAGGAACCAGCTCTGACGTCTGTTTCTAAACAAGCTGACGTTTAAGAAAAGGTTCAGTAAACTGATCTTTTCCAGTTTCAGCAAAGGTCAAAGTTCAGGAGGAATTTCTAACGACAGGAAGTGTGTGTGAAACTTCTGAATATTTAATCGAGACAAAGACGAACGTTCTGGACGAGGGATTTATCACTTTGTGTGTTTGAATGATTAAATAGTTCAGTTATTGAAGAAATTGATTTATAATTGATAAGATTATGAAAGAAAATAATGAGTGAATAAATTATTGATCAGAGCAAATGATACAGCAGCTGAAGTTCCACAACATCATTATGAGATTATCTCTCTCACACACACACACACACACACACACACACACACACACACACACACACACACACACACCTGTACTGACTGAAGAGTTAAAAGTATTTATGTGTTTTGCTCGTAGATGTCGTGGCGTCCGTCTTTCCGCTGCTCAAAGTTTCGCCACATCTTCGGAAAACCGGCAACCAAGGAGCACAGCTACGACGGCGTGCCAATCACACGCAGTGTCCATGACAACCACCACTGCTCAGCCAATCCCTGCTTCATCGCCGTGGTGACCGAATGTGCCGGGGGCGGGTCCTTTCTAGTCCTGCCCATCCATCATGTGTGTTTGTTTATTATTTTGATCAACTTTTTAAATTTCATATTAAATGAACGTGTTGTAAAACAGCTGCTCTCTCTCTCTCTCTCTCTGTCTCTCCCTCTCTCTCTCTCTCTCTCTGTCTCTCCCTCT